CTCAAAATAAAACGACTCCAGTAAAGTACAGATACTTGAAAAATGTACTTAAGTACAGTAACGAAGTAAAGCTACTCCGTTACTGTCCACCACTGCACTTCAGTATGTGATTCTTATTATTAGGGGTCATTTTTTAGGATTCTATTCTTAACCTAAGTCTCTGAGAACCTGACACCTTGTACTTCTAGAGACTCCAGGTAGGTTGCAGTTCTGGAAAATGGTGGCGCTGGAGACGAAATGGTTCCTGGTGATTTCACACCTAATTCTTCGCCTTAATTCCTAATTATTTTGCATGATGAATTGTAGTGAAGTAAAAAGTACGATCTTATGCTTTGGAATGTAGTGAAGTAAAAGTTACTCAAAATAAAACGACTCCAGTAAAGTACAGATACTTGAAAAATGTACTTAAGTACAGTAACGAAGTAAAGCTACTCCGTTACTGTCCACCACTGCACTTCAGTATGTGATTCTTATTATTAGGGGTCATTTTTTAGGATTCTATTCTTAACCTAAGTCTCTGAGAACCTGACACCTTGTACTTCTAGAGACTCCAGGTAGGTTGCAGTTCTGGAAAATGGTGGCGCTGGAGACGAAATGGTTCCTGGTGATTTCACACCTAATTCTTCGCCTTAATTCCTAATTATTTTGCATGCATCTTTTCTTCTCTACATGTTTTTGACAGTGTCACAAGTACCTCAGGCACATCGTTTTTCCATTTTTGTAGCATAAACACCATCAAACCAATGAAAGCTTAGGATCTTCCAATGTTTCTCTATTGTGCGGAAACCTAAAGATGTCCGATTTCCGTCCCCCGTGCAGCTGATAAGCAACGGCCATTGTCTCATCTGCATTCAAAGGAAGGAGCTTGCCGACAGGGCAATTTCGACCCCGACTGCAAGCTGCAACTCTCGCCAATCGGTCTGCACTGCTCCGCATGACACACTGCCATTCCCAGCATGAGATCCGGACCTCAGCATTTATAGGCTTACAAAAAAAAAATAAAAAAGTTATGAAATAACTGCCTAGTAACACTAACTGAACACAGGTGCCGCAAAGACAATTGGACTTTCTCATCGGAGCTGATCAGCGGTCTACAGTTCTCCTCAGTCAAAATCACCAGGCAAAATGGTCAATCAAATCTATGAAGGCGGGCATTAAAGAAAGTATACGAAATGGTGTAAAAAAAGTACTCAAATTATACTTAAAACAGATACAGTACAGAAAAGTTGTACTTAATAAAAGGATAACATGTATAGAGAAACTGACTGCAGCCCATGAGGCAGATTCATCTGTCACACCTGACCAGCTGAAAATCCTCCATGAAAAGACAGAAAAATACAAAGAGTTTGCAGAAGGTGCCATTTGAGTCCCCATGATATAATGTGGTATATTTTGTGTAAAAATTGGCCAAGTTGCTAAATTTCCAGGTCTCAGGGAGAGGAACTAATGCCGAGTTCACACTGCACGATTTTCAAACTCGTAGGATCGCCGTTGTTTTCACACTGCATGATTATCTGAGGTAGCATTCAGTTGCTGCTGTTTTCACATTGCACGATGGATCGGCGACAGGAGGTTACACACCGCATGACTTCACAATAGGAAGAATCGCCGACAGCTCTGTCTGGTCCGTAAACTACGTTCCACAACAAAACACACGCGAGAAGGGATAAAGAAATAACGCGAAAACCCGTGTGCGTCAGACCGGACCTCGAGCCGACTGGAATTATAAAAAAATATATATCTATATAGCCCGCAAATTGTCTGTTGATTTCCAGCTACAAGGAGAAAAAAGAAAAATAGATTATGCAGGAGGGAGATGCAGGGAACAGGGATTGGTTGTTCTGCAAAGACCCAGAAAGCAAATTTGCGTTTAAAAGACATCTATTAGCCTTCTAAACACAGCCCAGACATCTAGGCTAGAACAAGGCTAAATTTGGGTGGTCAGTGAAAATCTAATAGACGTCTAATCATAGCCCAAGAATAGACTAGTCATCAATTAGACGGCTATTAAACGACTACATATATACGTCTAATAGACAACAAAATTCTCTTTTGCTTGGATGCCTACTAAAAACAAAAACGAGATATATATTGTGTATCAGTGTGTTAAAAAAGAGAAGCTCTCTGGTAAATGTTGTGTGTTTTATACACATACCTCTAATGACCGAGAACAGTGCAGTCTTTTCAAATGCTTCTTTCTGCAGCAGACCACCCCCCTTCATGTTGAATTTGGACAAGAGTGAATTTTTTTAATGACCGAGAACAGTGCAGTCTTTTCAAATGCTTCTTTCTGCAGCAGACCACCCCCCTTCATGTTGAATTTGGACAAGAGTGAATTTTTTTAAAACCCTAAAATATAATACAGATTGAGGTGGTTAACAATTGCAGACCAAGTTTGACATTTCAAAATGACAACTAAAGGAATACTTTAAATTTCTGATTTGCATTGTAACTTGAGTATTGGCACCACAATGTTTGATTAATGTGGCAAGATTTGTAGTCTTTATCTGTCCAGCATCCTTCTGGCACTCTCTTTGAGGTTTCTTCCTTCAACTCTGCACAACTTTGACACCTGAATAACACATGCCAATGTCAGGCGGGTAGTATTATATGTGTCCGTGTACAAGTGTTTACCTACCTTAAACATTGATGGCCATTAACCTGCAAACTTTCCATGACTAACCCTTTAAAACTCTTTATTCCAACAGTTTAAGTTTTTCCCTATTGATGCCCCCCACAATCTGTCTCTGCCTCCAAAATTGTCTGGCACAACTGACTTCATAACTCAGTGATAGCTGCTGTAACTAAAAAGTAGCCCAGTACACACATTAACCGCAAATGTACATGAAATAATAAATTCACCCCTAGTCCCCTACCCTTTTATTACATTATGTTTTCTGTTTGTACGGTTTAGGTTTTAATGCTGAATTGCACATCTGAGCTATCTGCACTATTTTAATACTGCTGCAAACTTTTTGATAATTTTATATTGCCATTTTAAATAATTTGTATTCTTAAGGTTTACTATCAATTTGGAAGTTTCAAAATAAATCTTATTGTAACGTTACTTGTACAATGACAGAGCTATTCTATTCAATTAGCTCATGCTCTCTGTATCTAACACGCCATTGTTCAGTCATAAATTCAATATAATAATTTAAATAAATGATCGACTGTGTCAAAGATGAGAGCTTTAGTGAGGAAATGTTTTGGAGAGTTTTTTTACCATTGCTGCTCGGATCTTCTCAATTTCCAACCGCTTTTCCAGATGTTGAAACTCCTCAGTTTCTCCAATTCTTCGAAGTGTTCACTGTATAGATTAATATGAAGTAATCGGTCAAAGCTGTGTTTATTCTTTCAACTCTTCTTGCACGGTTTTAAAATAGATTGAGTTTGTACACGTACAAATGATAAAACTTTTACTCTAATAAATTGTGCAATTAATGAAACCAAATTCAAGGTTATTTGGGCTAGAAGTGTGTTACACATAGCCGGACTATATCGGGTCTATACTTAACAGAGACGTTGAACAGACTGCTATTGCTTGCTGGGGAGAGTTGGAGGTAAATAATTTTGCAGTAACCGTTATGCTGATGTTGTGGCTGGTCAAGCAAATGTTTGTGCTAGTTTCTGTATGATATAATTGTTCATATATCTATTAAAATACTGATATTCTGGTCTATAACTCCTCAGCGAAATTCCCTCTGCCCTGCATCTTGGTCTCTCATTGGCTGAAGGTCGTCGCCAATGTAGTTTTCAGTCAGATCTCATTTCACACAGCATGATTGTGAATCGCCGACAGCACCAGATATTTAGCATGCCAAATATTTTGCGGGCGTCGGCGATTCCCTCAGATCGCGTCTTTTAATCATTCTCACTGCGTGCGTGTCACTCGTGTGAACGAGCACCGATTTGCCTTCGATTTCTGGCATTTGTTGGCGATTTCACAAAACCTGTCGGTGAGTGAAAAATCGGGCTAAAACCGTGCAGTGTAAACTCGGCATTAAAGCACTGATGCCAGAAAGCAGTTGTAAGATACAAGCCAAATGATACAACAACAACTCTTCAATCAAGCAATTATTTTTATTTGAGGAGGTGGGGGGAGGAGAGAGACAGAAAATCTTTCTAAACTCTTTTGAGCATATAGGGAAAACATCCCATATGAATAAGGCACTGAATTGAAAAGATCTCCAGTAAATGTTCCCTGGCCATGGCCGCTTCCCTGACCGCTACCCTCGCCATGGCCGCTTCCCTGACCGCTTCCCTGGCCATGGCCGCTACCCTGACCCTGGCCGCTACCCTGACCCTGGCCACTTCCCTGGCCATGGCCGCTTCCATGGCCGCTACCCTGACGCTGGCCGCTTCCCTGGCCGCTACACTGGCCATGGCCTCTTCCCTGGCTGCTACCCTGGCCGCTACCCTGGCCACTACCCTGGCCATGGCCGCTTCACTGACCGCTTCCCTGGCCGCTACCCTGGCCATGGCCGCTTCCCTGGCCATGGATGCTTCCCTGAACGCTTCCCTGGCTGCTACACTGGCCATGGCCGCTTCCCTGGCCCTGGCCGCTTCCCTGGCCGCTACCCTGGCCGCTACCCTGGCCATGGCCACTTCCCTGGCCATGGCTGCTTCCCTGAACGCTTCCCTGGCCGCTACCCTGGCCCTGGCCGCTTCCATGGCCGCTTCCCCGGCCGCTGC